ACGACACGCAACCCGATCCATATATTGCTATGGCGTGCAGCCCGATCCATATATATAGTCGACTGCGCTCACTGGGGGTGTGCAGACTCTGGAGGGGCTCTTACAGCCCAAGCACTATATCGCTGCGGCGTGCAACCCGATCCAATATATATATCGCTGAGGTGTGCAGCCCGACCCATATACATATATATATATATATATATATATATATATATATATATATATATATATATATATNCCTCTCTCAGTCATTAACCTTACAATCAGACCTTCGGTCTATCTCAGTCATCAACCTCGCGATCACTCAGACCATCAGTAAAATAGGGAACTCAACCCAAACAGTTTTCACATTTTTAAGAAGTAAAGTGATAAAACTAGATTTAAATAATAAACAGGTAAATCATGACTGAAAATATGCTTTTAAAACAAATATAGTGAGGAAAAATAGTAAAAATGCCCCTAAGGGTCTCAACAGGTCAGCCCAAGGCCCCAAATATGGCATACATCCCAAAATATAATATCAATCTCTAAAATATGGAATATCATAAGATTCAAATCAAATACGCAACTTAACAGTCGTACGGGGCGGACCAATTCACAATCCCCAATGGTGCACGACTCCACGCTCATTATCTAGCGTGTGCGTCACCTCAAAGTAGCATAACGATGTGAAATCCGGGGTTTCAAACCCTCAGGACAGCATTTACAATTATTACTTACCTCGATCCGGTCCAAACTCTAGCCAACAATGCCTTTGCCCTCACGAATCGACCTCCAAATGCTCCAAATCTAGCCACAATCAGTACATAACTATTAAAATATGCTAAGGGAACAAAGCCCACTCGAAAATATCCAATTTACATCAAAAATCTCGAAATTTCTCAAACTCGGCCCCCGGGACCACGTCTCGAAATCCGATAAAAGTCACATCAATAGAATCCTCATCCTCTCACGAGTCTATACACTCCAAGAACATCAAAATCGGACCTCAATTGCCCCTTCAAATCCCCAATTTACACTCTCCAAATTCAAGCCCTAATTCCTCAATTTTAGGATTAATTTTCATAACTAATTAGGTAGAATTCACACAAGAATCGAGTATTGAGTTCAAAAATCTTACATTCAGATGTTATCTCTTGAATCCCTCTTCAAATCCTTTCAAAAAGCTCCAAAATTGCCCAAAAATGGTGAAACTTAGCCCCAAAATCGCGGACAATGGCTATTTAAACATTCTGCCCAGGCATCAAAACCTTCTTCGCGAACGCAGGATAACCATTGCGTTCACGATGAACAAAAACACCAGCCATCAAAAATGCTCTATGCATTCGCGGCACCAACATCGCAAATGCGATACACAATGGATACAGAGCTATGCAAACGCATCCCAAGACTCGCAAACACGATGAAGAAAGGTCCTCTAGCCCAGCTCCTAGCCCGACTCTATGCGAACGCGATATGCCATATGTGAACGCAAAGGAGTCCTCCCCTAACACTGTGCGAACGCGTGACATGCTTCACGATCGCGAAGAGCAATTTGCTGCTGCCATGCGAATGCACTATGCATTCGCGAAACGTGCCTCGCGAACGCGATGAAGAATTGAGGCACCAGATATCAGCAGAACACAGTAATGAAACATTAAAATTAAAATTCCCCAGACCAAAAGAGACTGGTCAGAAGTTTCGGTTTTGAAAAGGTCTGATTCCAAAGTTGTAATTTTGACCCATTTTCATCTTAAGTTAGTTTGAGCCTTCATGCCACCCTTTCTTTCTAACCCCATCCAAAATCCTACATTTCGGTCCAAAGAAAGACCTTCCGATCAATATTTGAGGATGCCAAGTCAAGCAAGATAGAGGTATGATTTACATCATGGGTAACACTTTGTTCATGGGCGCAAGAGAGAAAATTTAAAATGATAGAGTCTTATTGATAAAAACTCTCGCGGGCACCGTAAGGCGATGATGAGTTGAGAGATGAACAAATGAGAGAGACTTGTTAGTGAAAACCCTTCAGGGCACTACAAGTCAAATGAGGCTCATGACTTTACTGAGAAATTGGATCAGTAAAAGCCAGGTTTTTAAAGTATGAAGACATGATATGAACTGAAAATATGATTGGTTGGACGGATTATGCTGATAAGTCCGAAATGCATGTCATGATCATTGGAGTTGGTTGCTTCCCTCAGATAAGTCATCTTTTTCTCATTCTTCTTCATATAGTCATCTGTGTTCAAAATTTTCCTTTGTTCCTTTTGTCAAAAATCATTTCACTTTGCTCTTTGAGTCTATATTTATGAGTCTCTTTCGAGTTAGCCCTTGTTGAACAAGCAGGAAAGGATTTCAAAGCCTACTACCAGCCTCTAAATTGCACAAAGCGGAGTCCGGCCAGGCAAATCACAGTTGACTTGATTTAGAATAAGCAGTATGGTGATAACTGAGGTGTAGGCAATCAAGTGAGTCTTGAATTTTGAGAAAATACAAGGATTCAGCAACTTTCAAAATGAAAATACAATGCAACAAGTGAGTATGAGAGATTCAGGTCATGTAAATATTTTGTGGTCCAGTTCCAATCAAAAGGTCAAACAATTTCTTGCTAGCCCGAAGCAGCTAATCAGAATAAAGCATGGCAATGGTGGAAGCAGACACTCAGCAATGATGCCACAAACTAACCACCACGTTTTCAAACTAACAAGATTTTATTTGTCTGAAACAGGGGCAAGAAATTTTTTTAATCCACAGGGACCTCCCATGGAAAAGCATGGTTAGCAAGAAATTCTGTTAAGAATCCTCCAAAATGAGAGCATGGCTCAGATAAGTTCATTCTCAGTTCTCAGGACCCTCCTGGATAATGGGATTTAGTTTTTGAATTTTCAGGACCCTCCTGGATAATGAGATTTAATTTTAAAAGTTCTCAGGACCCTTCTAGATAATGTGATTTAATTTAAAATTTTCAGGACCCTCCTGGATAATGGGATTTAGTTTTTAAATTTTCGGGTCCCTCCTGGATAATGGAATTTAGTTTTAAGTTTTAGCATAAGTTCTCCCTTTAGAAAATATAATTTAGCTTTAAAGTTATCACTCTTAAGATGAGATTTAATTCGAAGTTTTCAGGGACCTCTTGGATAATGGGATTTAACTTTTAAATTCTTAGAGCTCTGTAGGTAACATGATCCGATTAACACTCACAAATATGCCTAGATCCCAAATTGGGGCAGAAAAATTTCTTTTGTTTTGACTATTTTGTAGCAATCAGGCGCCCTCCTGGATAACGAGGGAATACAGTTCAAGTTTTAGCAATCAGACGCCCACCTGGATAACGAGGGAGTACAATTTCAAGTTTTAGCAATAAGGCACCCACCTGGATAACGAGGGAATACAGTTCACGTTTTAGCAATCAGGTGCCCACCTGGATAGCGAGGGAATACAATTCAATTGTTGGTAATCAGGCGACCACCTGGATAACGAGGGAATACAGTTTCAAGTTTTAGCAATCAGGTGCCCACCTGGATAACAAAGGAATACAGTTTCAAGTTTTAGCAATCAGGCGCCCACCTGGATAATGAGGGAATATAGTTTCAAGTTTTAGCAGTCAAACGCCCACCTGGATAACGAGGGAATGCAGTTTCAAGTTTTAGCAATCAGGCGTCCACCTAGATAACGAGGGAATACAGTTTCAAGTTTTAGCAATCAGGCGCCCACATGGATAACGAGGGAATACAGTTTCAAGTTTTGGCAATCAGGCGCCCACCTGGATAACGAGGGAATACAATTCAAGTTTTGGTAATCAGGTGCCCACCTGGATAACGAGGGAATACAATTCAAGTTTTGATAATCAGGCACCCACCTGGATAACGAGGGAATACAATTCAATTGTTGGTAATCAGACGCCCACCTGGATAACGAGGGAATACAATTCAGGTTTTGGAAATCAGGCACCCACCTAGAGAACGAGGGAACTCATTTTATACCAAAGTCAAGCTATTGGCAGGAGCCCACCTAGAGAACGAGAAAATTCATTTCTGAGTTACTTCAATTCGCAAATTTACAAAGCATCAGGAGCCCCTCCTGAAAAACAAGGTCCATTTTTTTCAGTTTCATATTGAAGATCAAGTAGAGATTCAAGGAAGATTCAAGACAAGAAGTAGATAGGATCTTGTATTTTTCTTTTACTTCTACTGTAATTTTTCCTTTTATTTTTGAAGTAATGGCAGGAACCGTGGACTGGAACCTCAACGGCACTTCACTCAACTCTCCACCTCGGTATACTCCATCGCTCTTCCCACTCCGAACTATACGTGGCCTGATTCCTTTATAAACAAGGATATGTAGGCAGCTTAGAAACCAGGGCTCGATCACATACTCTTTTCTTTTAATTTTGTCCCTTTAAATAAAGGTCGGGTCAAAAACATATCTTGTTGTTCTTTGTCTGAAAACGCTTCGTGTTTCCCGTCAAAGAGGGGCAGCTGTAAACATGTAATTTTTGACCCACGCATTAGAATCACCTCTAATAGTCCTAGTATTTTTTAGGACATTTATTTGAGTTTATTTCTATAGGATTTTACTTTATTACTAATTTTAATTCAATATATTTTTGTTTTTACCATGATTTTCACTTTTATTTTAAATATAATAATTTATATAAAAAATAATATATAAAAATATAGTTTCATAGTATGATATATTTTACTTTAATTAATCATAATTAATTTTAAATTATTTTTGTAAAGAAAATATTTAAGTTTTCTTAATTGGTAGATTTAAAAGGGTTAAAGTCCCAAATTATAGGCCCAATTCGGATGCTAAAGAGGCCCAAATCTGGGCAGTCCAATCCCATAATGCTTTCAACCTAGCCAACCCAATCTCTTGATCCACGAAACACACTGACCCGCCCCATTTTTTAATTTTTAATCTCTACCGTCTAAAATCCCTGGATCCAACGACCACAATTAATCCCCATACCCCCAAATATAAACCTAATATTCACTAACCCTAACCCTAAAGACTACCCAAATCGGCGCCCCCCTTCCCCGTCTCTGCCCGCATCCTTTACCCCAAACTCACCGGAAAAACTTGCCAACCCGGCGAGTTAACTCATGGTCCCCCTTTCCCTTCTCTCTTTCTTCCACGTGGCCTGACAAATAACCGATTTTGGTTCGAATCTACGTTGTATTTTGCTCTCTCATACGTGAATCTCTTTCAACGATAGATGATGGACGAAGGGTAGGATATGATTAATGAAAATTAATCATACCCCTCCATTTGTCCAGATTTTTACCAAAAAGAAGGAAATTTTCGGAATTTTGGTGGGATTTTCGGATTTTTGAAGGGTTTTTGCTATTTCTTGCAAAGGAAGGAGAGAAGCTTCGAGAGAGGGCTATATATTTGGGTCTGGACAGAGATTGAAAGGGGGTATTTCTTGACAGAAAAAGCTAGGGTTTTAGGTTTTTATTTTGAGTCCTTTATTTTCGGAAAGATCCGAAAAAACTAACACAAAATATATGTTTTCATCCCTTTACTGCTTTTCAATTTTTGAGTTTCAATTTGAGTTTTGGTATTGAATCGAGGTCGCTCGAGTCGTCGATTGCTTGCCAGTTGAGGTCCGTTCGAGATCGCGAGTTCCTCTTTCTTGGATGTTGTTTGTCGTGGATCTTCACTGCCATATTTAAGTGTATTTGATTGCGATCAGAATTAATTAAGAGCGCTTTCAGGTTCATTTCTTCCTCCTACTCTTGTGTGTATTATGAATCAAAGCCATAGAGGGAGCCATTTAAGATAGACTAATCAGTAGTAGTTTCAGATTTAACTGATTTTTCTTGCTGATTTTGGCTGCTGGTTATTGTTACTCTATGAGTTTCCTTTTGGCGAGTCTCTTCATAAGAGTTTGAATGAATTAGAAATGTGTTTGATTCCATGGTATCGCTTTGCCGACCTTCTGTATTCTTTGGTGAATAACGTTGAATGAGTTGCCAGTTTTGAAATATGGTAAATACTAACAGTTTTGAAAGATTAACTCAAGTTCATTGTGATAGATTTTTTTTTCTTTAATGAGGTTCTGTTATTTGATTTTTCTTCATGTCCCAACCTTTAATGCTAGGATTTTGCTTTATGTGGATTGAAAGGTGGTTCTGGTTATATATTAACTCGTTATCCCAATTGGATTTGATGGTGAATCGACCTTAAGGTTGAAATAGTGTTTTGTAGTCCCTTATGATTCGAGAAATGAGGTTGTTGGTATGTTGTTTTGCTTTCCTTCGGCTGGTTTAAACTTGTAATGAGTCGTGAAGGATCTTCAATTCTCTTAAATTGTTAGGTACATGTAAAAGTAAAGAAAGGAAGAAAAAGAATCATGTGTTGTTCAAGAACTTATGCCACTGTCTTTGCTACTTTCCATATAATCATCAAGTATTTTTGATGTGTGTTTCAATAATATGGATAGATGTTGTCACCATGAAGGCCTCCAGTATATCACTGTTATTCCCAAATTTCATGAGTTGTTCTAAAAAGCTATATCTCTTTCATTTGAGCAAAAACTACTGTTCTAAAAAATGAATATGACTTCCAATGATGTCCAGATTGCAATGAAAATGGGCCAATTTGATGTTCGATTCATTGTGATTATTAAGGCTGTTTAAAAAATTTGTTGGTCCTCTTGGATTAATTTTTTGTTTTGAGATGATGTCTATTATGCAGCGAGAATTATGATTGAGCTACTGATATAGTCATAGTATTGGCTCCTCCTAATGGCCTTGATTCATTTTCCCTAACTTGTAGTAGTTATTGCTATTTTAGCTTTCCTTGTTCTTATCTTCTATGAATGCCTAGGGTGTTCTGTTAAATGCATTACCTTGTTGATTTAGCGTTGTTGGGTATGAAATTATTTGAATAGTTATAGGACCATGGGAGTTGGGAGAGAGACTTGGCCCATTAGTGTTAATTTGCTTACTTACTTAGGAATTGGGCTTGGTCGAAATACATGAAAATAATGATAAGTTAACAGAACATGACACCGAATTGATTTTTTTTTTAGTTTTTCACTTATTTACTTATTCTCGTTTTATTATTATTATTCGCTAGGAGCATATTAGGCCGACAACATTTGGGTAGGCAATATTAGAATTTTTCTATTTGCTTGCTTTTAATTTCGAGGAAAGAGGTCGTTCCCCTAGTTGAATTTATCCGAGAAATGCCCCGAGGGGTTTGTATATATTATTATCGGGGTATGACCCAAAGAACTATGTAAATATTTTGGAGGCCTTGTCGAGCATGGTGGAGAAGTCGTAGTATAGGTTAGCTTAAGATTTTTCTTTTCCTTTCCTTTTCATTTTCTTTTATTAGGCGGGGACGACCTCAAGCCTCGTGTGTGTTTATTCTGCTTTACTGTGATTTTACTTTAACTTGAATATTCTAAAAGTCAACTAGATCGGGTACGCAACCATACTAAACCTCTGGTGCGGACTTAGTTTTGAGTCCAAGTGTTTTAAAAGGAAAAATATTTTCTAAAAAAACCGGTGGCCTGGCACACCGAAATCACATGTCAGGTGGCGACTCTGAGTTTTCTTTTTGAATACAATATTTGTCACTTTTTAATTAAAATCCTTTTTCAAGTTTTTACTAAATTACTTTTATTAATTTTAGAGGGTTAGGTGAAGTTTGGTTAAAAAAGGGTGTGACAGTATTCGGACAATTGTCCATTTCTAGAAGTTTCTTCTCATTTTCCACTCTTTTTAATTTCTGAAAATTCACTTTTTTTAATCCAAAATCTGACTTAATTTATTTATGTTATTGCACTTAAGTCCTTTTTCTAGAAGCTTCCTGAGCAACTAGATAGATTCCCTAAATTTGGTTTTCAATTACCCTCTTAAAGTTTCTGTTATTATCCTTTCACCCCCTTAATTACAATTAACATTCAAACATCAGAAATCAAACAATTAAGACCAAATCAAGGATCAAACAAAATAAAAACTGCTTACTAATTAAACATGGCAAAATTATTAAATTATTAAAGCTGATTCAGTTAACCTAAAACACATGCAATTAACTAATTAATCTTACTTTCACTAAGTTTAAACAAATTAATAACTAATCTAATCAAAAGAAATTAACACCAAAGTGATAATCTGAAACAGAAAAAGAAACAAAAGAAAGGAAAAGATAGATGCACTGATTTGGATTCTAAAAGAGACGGCAATTGAGGCGAATTGACTAACAATGATGGCGATGAAGCTTTAGCCGGCCAGTGGTGAGTTAGTCGGAATTCGGTGGCCGTGAGATGAACCAAGACTAACATCAGTTGATTGATCTCATCAAGAGCAATTAGTTGATGTAAATTTCAAGTTCAAACGAGCCGAGATTGAGGAGAAATCAAAAAAGGACAGATTTAGGATTTTTCGGCCTTTTTAGATCCGAAATTCAAAGGATTTAGGAAGGTTTTTTGTAACGACCTGGCCTGTCGTTTTGAGAGTTATAGCATCATTTCCCCCATCTATTCTTCTTTATGTATTGTTCAGCTGTGTTGAGCTGTATTGAGTTGGTAGGTTTGGGTTCAGAGTAATTTTGGAGTGAAATGAATACTTAGTCTCTTAGTTAAAAAGCTAGGTTAGAAAAGTCAATTGGAAGTTGACTTATGAGTAAATGAATTCGGATTTAGATTTTTATTATTTGATTAGCTTCGTTGGGTGATTTTAGACTTAGGAGTGTGTACGAAATATAATTTGGAGGTCCGTGGTAGAATTAGGGTTGAATTGCCGAAAGTTGAAAGTTTAGAAATTCTTAGGCTTGAATTCGAGGTTGATTTGGTGTTTTGGTATTGTTTTGGGTGTTCTGGAGGTTCGACTAAGTTCAGGTAGTGATATATGACTTGTTGAAATTATTGTTTGAGGTCCCGAGGGCCTCGGGTGAGTTTCGGATAGGGTTGGGTTGTGTTGCGCTCGTTTTTCTTATGTTTCGACGTCGTTTCTTCAAGCATAAATGATATCATATTGAATAATTGAGCTCCAATTTTTTTTATTGAAGCATTAGATCCGTATCGTAATCAGGGACGCGTAGTAAAGAGAATCATCAAATTTAGACATTGTATGAGGATTTTATGATCATTTTACTAAGAATTAGGTTACCAGATTTTTCAGATTAATTACGAAATTGCCATTGACGGTGTATTTAAAAATATGCACTATTTGCAAATATTAAAACCTACGTATCTCATTCATTATAAGGTCAAATGGAGTGATTCAAAAGCCTAACTTGACTAGAATTTCACAAGGAGTCCATTGGAGGCATAAAAAGTGAGTTTCAAAATCGTTTAGCATGAGAAACGAGGAAGAATAGCTGACAGAAAAATATATAAAATTAGGGTTTGTTCATTCGGTCATATTTTGAGTTGGGGAGCTCGGATTTGGGCAATTTTGGAGGCGATTTTCACCATATGGATTGGGGTAAGTGTTCTCTACTCGGTTTTGATTATAATTCATGAATCCATCATCGTGTTTCGGATTTGTTTGATGATTTCAAAGTAAAATTGAGGGAGTTAGGGTTTGAGTTTTAGAGAGTTTTCAGTGAGGATTTGAGGGACCAAACGTAGTCCGATTTTGATAAACTTTATATGGTTAGACTTTATAGAGAACAGGGTTTATTATTATGCTATTTTTGACTGATTCCGAGAAGTGGACCCGGGGGCCGAATTTTGGCCAGTTTTAGATTTTTGGCATATTTTATAGTTTTATTGTGGAAATAGATTCTTTAGCACATGATGATGGTATTAATCTAATTATGGTTAAATTCAGAGCTTTTGGAGACTGAGTCCAAAGATGAGGGCCTCCCGGAGTAGGATTTTTACGCTGTTGAGGTTAGTAACTGTTTTAACTCTGGCTTTGAGGGAATAAACGCAGAGAAATTGATATCATGTGATTGTTTGGTGGTGATACCCACGCTAGGTGACGAGCGTGTGGGTGTATACCTCGAGGGATTAAGACTTGGTCCATCTCATGGGGCCTCATGGCCATTATCTATGTTTATGTAGTTACTTGTTGTTGAACTTGTCTACCTTCATGTTAGAGATCATGTTTAGGCTTTATTCATGCTCACATTATTTGTACTCAGTCATAGAAGTTATTGTACATGTTTACCTCAGTCTCTATTATTTGCTAATATGTTGTGATACTTGATGTGGGCTGTGTCCCCTTATTTGTCGATGATGGTGAGGCTAGTGAGGTACATGATTGAGTGAGGTCGAGGGCCTGGTTGTGAGGATATTGATACCATAGCGTGTGAGTTGTCCACATAGCACGTGAGTTGACCGTGCGGATCCAGGTATTGATATGATGGCACGTGAGTTGTCCTTGCTTAGCGTTTGGGATTGGAAGCTCCTCCGGAGTCTGTACACACCCCCAGTGAGCGCAGAGTGTTGAGTGTATTGGGTGTTGAGTGCTGAGTGCGAGTGATGAGTGATGGAGTGACATTGCTGTGAGGTTGCATTTATTTTTGATGTTGCTGCATTTACCTGTTAATTTCTTTGTGGCATTTGTTAGTTTTATGGAATTTACCTATTTATTCATGTTTATTGTAAATTGTGAAAATAAATAATTGGACTGTATTACTTAGCTCGTCACTACTGCTCAGTTCCTTAGTTATTTCTGTTACTACTGAGGTGGTTGTACTCATACTACACCCTGCACTTTATGTGCAGATCCATGTGAGTTAGAGCGCGGCGATCGCTAAGTTCAGGTCGGCTATCTTTGGAGACTGTAAGGTAGCCGCTAGTGTCCGCAGGGCCTTGTTACTCCTCTTATCATTTCTTCTTTTGGACAGTTAGATAGTTTATATATCTTAGTTTACAGTTTTAGACACTCATGACTTAGTGACACCATGATGTTTGGGACTCGTTTTCGTATTTTATATTAGTTATATTTAGAGTTGATTTAGTTTATCAGGAATTAAATTATTGCAAATATTTTATTAATTTCTTATAATCGGTTTAGTAGTAATAATTTGGAAAATAGGTTTGCCTTGTAACACGATAGGCACCATCACAACATGGTTAGATTTTGGGTCGTGACATTTTTGGAGAAATTGATTTNCGCTGTAGGTGATTTCCGGCGGTGGCAGAAGGTGGTTGTTAAAGATATGAGAGAGATAAGAGAGATAGGGGAACTAAGGCGTCTCTAGGGATTGGGAAGGGGTCTGTTTGGACAGATTTAAGGGAAAGGGATGGGGAGTTCGGGGCCGTTAGATTAAGTTTGATGAAGGGCTGGGATTAGCTTGACGCCCAAACGATGTCATTTGGTCTTGGGTGGGACTGGACCGGATCCATGTGGGTCTAAGTTGAGCTAATTTGAGCAATTTTTGGGCCATTTGGCCCAGCAAGAATGCTTCCTTCAATTTTTGCCTTCACCTTGTTTGTTTTTTTAAATGGTCACTCTTAATTAAATCCTATATCAAACCTAATTTGCAAAATAACATATTCATTTGTTTTAATTCAAAATTAGGCTAATTAACTAATCGACTAATTAACTACAAATGTAAAAAGAAAAGAAGAATAACTGAATGTCATTTGTGATTTTTATTTTTTAACAATGCAATTAATGTGTCATTACATCCTAAACATGTTAAATCTAAAATGCAACAAGTAAAAAATATTTTTGAGGATTTTTAGGATTTTTTTTTAAATATTTCTAAATATGCATGAATGCAATTAAATGCAAATAAATACAAACAAACATCCTAAAAATTCTATAAAATTAAAAAGTAATTAGAAAAAGTCTATTTTTGTGGATTTTGTAGGGATATTTTTTGTGAGGCAAAAATTACGTGCTCATACCAACGATCGGTCAAAATTCGGCAAAAAATTCTAACAATCCAAAAGTTTTGCCCATCAAATTGAAATATTGGTTATTCGCCAAGATGTTGGCATGTTGCTGTCTATTGGTGGGATCGAATCAATTTTTTGTAAAACTTTTTTAAACTAGGTCAATTTATACAATGACACTGAAATATCATATTTGTGCAAATCTCTCAAACATGTTTGCACTTTCTTTATCCGTTGGATCATGGATGTTTGAGTTTATCTAGTTAATCAAGATATTATTGAAGGTCAACCGACGTATGATCTAACTTCGGTGGATAATTAATTTGTTCTTCTACCCTTATTTACTTAAATATTACTTTTATATTTTTATCTACACATAGTTTGAACTCATGATATACGATTAATTAACCCACATGTGCTACGCTCGTACTACTGGATTATAGTCGAGTAAACCTAAATACCAACTTTTTGAACTCAAAATACGTTTTTACTGTATAAAAAAAGATACCTTTTTATATATAACATAGTATAATATCGCGCTATAATTTAACAGTGTTACTGCTGTTAAAGTATAGCGCGGTATTATAGCGCACTATACCTATTAAATAAAGACCCCTTCTTCTTCCCCACGACAGAAACAAACGCCCCATTTGAATTTTAAAAGAACAACGGTCCTCCCCTCTCTTTTTCTCCAAAAAAATTCCGAGTGGACCTTGTAAGCACGTGATTTTAGCCCTGTATGAAAATTACTCCAAAAAATTCAAAAATAAAGTAATTTTTCTTGGTGTGCAATTTTGTGATATTTTG